TTCGAGCATCTTCTGGGTATATGCCTAGGAGTGGTATAGCTGGATCCAAAATCTTTTTTTAAGATTTATTTATTTATATTATGGCGTGCAGGTATACATGCAGATAGAACACTCATACATTAAATAAATAAATAAATAAATAAATAAATAAATAAATAAACCTGTTTTGAAAAATCAAAGATGTAATACTAATAACTTATTGAAGTATTAAGAGTAAGTTGATAAAAAAAAAAAAAGCCCCATGATGAAGAGCCAGATTAATCAGCAAGAAAATGTAAAGATAATATCTTATGTACTGTATGGATGAATCACCTGTCAATCAAAGGCAAAGGCCTATAACTTAGGCAAGAAATAAAGGTGGGACATCTGAGAGGAGAAAGGATTCTGGGATAGAACCAGGTGCAGGAAGACCAACCAAGGAGATACGAGAAGACGGACGCATAGTACCTGAGCACAGGTAACCAACTATGTGGCAGAATGTTGGTTAAAATAACTGGGTTATTTTAGTTATGATCTAGTTAGAAAAGAGTCTAATTATATGGCCAAAGTATTTGTAAATATATTTTGAGTCTGAATCTTATTTTTGGGAGCATGAGTTTGGAAGGAAGAAACCAGACATAACTTCCTCAAGAGAAAAGTAATAATGATATTTTAATCTTAAATGTTTGAGTAAATTTTAGCACTGAGATAAATCTTGTATTTCAACTAAGCTTGAGCCCTCTACCTAAAGAAACTTTCAGCTTACTTCAAGTTTCTTTCAATGCAGAAGGTAAAATATCCCAGGGAAGTGGTAAGTCAGAGATGTCTTTGTATCTACTTCCTTCCCACAGTCTTTTCTCTACTGTTTTTCTCTACTGTTTTTCCATATCAGGAGTTTTTACATGAGCACAAAATCCTGGGTGGAGGTGGGAGAAAGGAGTCCCATTTCATATTATATTCCCTCCCCACTTTCAGTGAAATATTGTTGGAGCCTGGCAACACCAGCTGCAGCTGATAATGAGGGAAAACCTACACTTTTATACCAGTCAGAATCAAACTCTTAATGTAGCTCAGTAGAATTAGCTGAGCCTTACGACTTAAGGACCCAGGTTCGGGACTCAGGTAGCTTTAATTTGCATCTCAACTCTATCAGTTACCAGCTGATCCGTTTATGTACTTTTAAATGGTACTACGTTGATTGTAATTTGTATCTCATGGAACTGTTGCATTACACTGATTAGTTTAAGTGATAACCAAGCTGTTTGCTACATACCAGATTTTTCAGCATTCTACATGTCTTACCTCAAACAATATTAATAAGGCTACTGAAATATGTGCAATCCTTTAGGCTAGCCTCAGTGAGTTTGTTTTCCTCATTTATTAAATGATGGTAATTCCTTATACAAGTATGGAAGTGATTAAATGATTTATTATTATTTAGCTCAGGGCCTGGTATATTGGATATGGTATACTAAAAATAAACTAAAATTTTGATTTTTGAGTGTGTAGTGAGTTTGTCCTATCACTTTCTATGGAATTCTGTGTTTGGCTCCCCGTAAAGAAAAGGCGCAGACTGAAAGGTGGGGCTTATTATGGTAACGGGTAGTCTTTTGGGATTTACTGAGAAGATTATACTGTGGCTTCTTCTGTGAACTTGAAGAACCATCTAAAACCATTTAATTATCCAAGAGCAAAGCCTAGGAATGGTGGCAGTAACCTAGTAACCTAGTAACTATCAACCAGAATCTACTGAGAAACTCTTAAAGGCATACTCACCCAGCCTGCATTCTTAAGATTCTGACCCAATAGTTCTGAAGTAGAACTAAAGGATCTGTCACTTTAAAACTTCCTGGTGAATCCCACATGCAGCCAGACTGAGAATCACTTCTCTATGACTTCACTATGACATCAAAACTTTCCAAACTTCTGAGAAACACAGAACCCATGGTGAGAGGAGAGGGACTGAACAGAAAGCTTGGACAACAAGCTGATCCCCTTTGTTAACTGGAGGGTGCTGCGCTCTCTGTCTTCTTAAACTTCTTCAATTGATACAGTGCTTCGAGAATAAGGTAATCTCACAATCCTTATGTTAAGTTTAAGTATGACAGTGGCTTCAAGGAGTCTAACATAGTAAATCAAATGCCCTCTGTCAAGTCATGGCCTCCTTCCATGGGAAAAGTAGTTTTTGATTAATGAACAAACCAATATTACTTGTTGTCACTGTGTATCCTCCAACAATTATTTATTTATTTATTTATTTGGCTTATTAACATCAGACTTATAAGTGTGGCCAAAATTAATGCTTTCCTAGGCCATTGGCTGAAATAACAGGTTTTCTGAAGACTACATACAGATATTAAAACACCTTTCCCATATTGCTTTTTTTAATCTAAAGATAATCATTTATAATAGCAGGTTTTACAAGCTTTAGTTTTCCAGAAAGTCAATTCACTTCATTATAAGTATCCATGGTTCTAATATATTCATTAATATGCAGTGAAAGCATAAGGAATCTCCCTGGCTTGTGTTCCCAAAAGGTACCTCAGTCTAAATTCCTAGATTTAATCATCAAAATGCCCTGGGAAAATCTGACATTTAACAGTCTAATTTTATGCCCTTTGTCTATGCCTTAGGCATGGTGCACAACCAAATTGAAATGGGGTATTCTAGGGCACTTTTCTAACCCTATCACTTATGCCACTCGTACTTGATCTTTTCTGACAAATACACACACACACTACCATCACCACCAAACTATACATCACTACTTTGCAGAAATCCCAGTTATAGCTGTTGCTTGGAAACTTGGAAGTTCTTTAAATGAATGTCTGCTTGGATAACTAAAGACAGTAGCCATGGGGGAGAGTGCACTTCCTATTGGCAGTAAAATGCAGCAACTTTGAGATGGTTTATTTTTAGCTCACTTTTAGGCGTCTTCATATGTTGATATCCACAAGTTTAGAGATTTCAGGCTAGTATTCTTAGGTAATGTAAGTAGGCTAGACTCAGATACTATGTTACAGTTCTTCTGATTCCTTCTCAGTGGTTATGCTGACTTATCTGCCTATTAGTAGTTCAGTTTTAGAAGAATTGGAGATGAAGGAGAGTGATGGACCCTAAAGGAAGCAGCTTCCCGAGCCTTGCTTTCTCTAGTGCACAAGTGTAGAATTTAATCATATCCAGGTCTGTGATTTTTCCAGGAATTCTTGCCTGTTTAATACTCTATTTGAGAAGTGAGCACACTATTTAAAGCAACCTTTGAGGATGTATAACATTAAATTTTGGTTTCCCAAAACAAAGAACTTGGTCTAACCAACTAAGCTATAAACAATTGTTATTCAAATATGTCCATGTGAGTGATGTGTGTAGGTATCCCTAGGTGGTAAGAAGAAAGTGCAGGATCCCTAGGAGTGGGTGTTACCAGCATTTGTCAGTCATCCATTGTGGGTTCTGGGATCTGAACTCCAGGCTTCAAGATTGAACAGAAACCAATCTCAATTGCTGAGCCATCTCTCTCCAGCCCTAATACCACATTGCTTTTAAGAGTAGAAAACAGGCCTATGTCAAGACTGATCTTAAGTGGTAATATTTCCTTTTCTAACCTATGATTCCTGCCTTTTAGGACTAATGGAGTTGGAACCCATAGAGCTCTGTCCTTATGATCCAAACCACAGGATACCTGCCAGCAGATTACAGTACCACCTGGCATCATGCAAAAAGGTAAGTTTCCCCAGTAATAACTGTAAATTACAAGTAAAGAAATGTTTTCAGAATATAGAAAGATAGTTCTTTGGTTTTGCTTTTTGCTTCTGATCATAGCTAGAAACTAAAAGTTCTTAAAGTCGAGAAATAATGTCTCTTCAGAAATTAGTGGAGGATGGAACACAGGCAAAACCTAACAAGAATTATTCCTTCTAGAAAAATCCAAAGATAGCTAAAAAGATGGCTAACTGCAAATACAATGCTTGTCATGTGGTCCCAATCAAAAATCTCAAGGAGCATGAGGCCAACTGTATCAACAGGACTGCAGTCGATGATGGTAAGCTTTTCACTTGCAAATAAATAAATAAGACCAAATTCTATGGCTTCCAAAATCCCCATATCTCAGGGTGATTTCGAAGCCTTAGTCAAACAGAGCAGATAAAGGTTTGATTTTATATTCTACTTCAAGAACTTCTTTTATACTTTGTTTCAGAGCCACTTAATCTTCAAAAGATCACTCATCCAAATTTTGAAGAAAATGAAAACCCCTCTAGTGCTGGGAGTCAGAATCCTGACCCTGATGTCTGGAATGTGGGTGAGCAAGGGTGAAACGGAACAGAACTGTGAGAAGAAGTGTGCTTTAGAACTAGCAGATAGTAAACACAGCCTGAGTAATAAATACTTTTTATGCTCTTCTCACAAAAACCATTTACTACAAATCACTAAGTCTAAGAATGTCACCTGTCTCTAGAGGAATATCCCAGTTAAAAACAATAGTCTAACTAAGCTATAGGCCAGCATGTCATTGTCACAGCCTTTGACCAGAACTGAACCTTGATTAGCCAAAACAGCCAAATCATCCTGACTTGTGTAGTAAAGACTATGTAACTGAAAATTCAGACTCAGCAGCTCATCCTAAGATCCTAGTATCATACACTGGCAGATCTGGACTGCCTTATTCACAGTGTAAATTACATGCTAAAAAACTACTAAAAACTGACTGTAACCAAACAAGTACATCTCCCAACTGGACATAACCCCCACCTGCACCTCCATGTACCCCACAGCTTTGTGCTACAGGTACAAATACAGGGGTATTTTTGTTACTGCCCAGCCCCTCTGCCCTTTTCTAATGTACACAATAAATAATTATTCCTTAAACAAAAGTATATTCAATAACTATTGTCCCTTTTTAAAAAATATATTAAAAAGTAATCTAGCTAAAATCTAAACTCACGTATAAAAATGAAGGGTTTCCCATCTTGCCAGGCATTATTACTTACCTATAATCCCAGCACCCAGGAGGCAGAGGCAGAAGGATCTCTGTGAGTTCAAGGCCAGCCTGCTCTACATAGAAAGCTCCAGGACAATCAGGACCACATAGAGGAAACCCTGTCTCAAAAATAAACTAACTAATTAATTTTAAAAACAAAATAAATAAAAAGACTTCATTCAGTCTGAATGAAGTTCGGCTATTAAGAAAGTTATTTATTTTTCTTTTTTTTTTTCGAGACAGGGTTTCTCTGTATAGCCCTGGCTGTCCTGGAACTCACTCTGTAGACCAGGCTGGCCTCGTACTCAGAAATCTGCCTGCCTCTGCCTCCCAAGTGCTGGGATTAGAGGCGTGCGCCACCACCACCCGGCAAGGAAGTTATTTCTTAAACACATCTTCAAAACTCTCATCTATAAAAGTCTGCCTCATAATCAAACTTAATATTGAATATAGGAAAGGACTGTAGCCCAGGGGCACAGCACTTGCCTTGCATGCAATCCTAGGTTCTAACCCCAGCACTGCAAAACAATAAAATAATTAAATATGTGTGTCAGAACAATACTTCTTCCCATAATATAAGCTCTAAATTATGTTGTTATAATTTAAAATGTCAGTACAAGTACTGTGCTAACTAGTTTTATGTCAACTTGACACAAGCTAGAGTAATCTAAGAGGAGAGAACCTCAATTGAAAAAATGCCTCCACAAGATCAGGGTGTAGGTAACCCTGTAGGTCATTTTCTTGATTAGTGATTGATGTTGGAGGCTCCAGCCTGTTGTGGGTGGTTCTGCCCCTAGACAGGTGATTCTGTGTCCTAAGAAACCAAACTGAGCAATCCACCTCCTTAATTCCTGTCTCCAAGATCCTGTTCTGACTTCCCCTACTGGTACCTGGAAGTGTAATCGAAATAAACCCTTTCTTCCCCAAGCTGCTTTTGTTCATTGTTACAGTAATAAAGATCCTAAGACAGACTCAGTTGCTAATAACATGAGGATACAAGCTTGTTTCAGCTTGTGGCTGTCAACCTTCCAAATTTAGCTTCCAAAGATGACATAAATGGAGACTGGAAAGGTACCTGATTTGAAAAGATACTTGCATTCATATTCCCCCTGGTAAAACAGTTGTATACTCACACCTAAATGTAAGGGGTGGACGTGTGGTCCCTGGCAGAGCAACCACTTCCCAGCAACAGCTATACAGGAAGACTAAAGAAAGACTCTGCTACCAGCTAGCCTTCTCTGCAACAATCTGAAGATGCTCAGGAATTGTGTTTCTTCTTTCCCAATCTTTATTTTCTAGATCATACGAATCATTTTCCTTCATTTGTTCTTGAGACTTTTGCTCCAAAAATGCTGGTTTGTGAGAGGTAAGATAAACTATATGCTCATCACCATAATTCAAGTTAGTAAGTTTGACTTTTTTTTAATGTTTGCTTGTTTGTTTGCTTGCTTGCTTGTTTAGCATGACCAGGGCATTTGTGGGCAGGTCAGAGGACAGCCTGCTATCACCAGTTTCTCCTTCCACTCCATGGATTCTGGGTTTCAAACTCAGGTTGTAGGCTTGGCAGTATGTACTTTTGCTCACTCAGCCACCTCACCAGTCCTAAAGTTAGACTTTTAAAGGGAAGATGGCCATTAGGCCATAGGCTCAAAATACATGAGCTTCAGTCACTTAAAGATTTGTGATCAGGTGGTATAGCTCAGCTGATAAATCCTTGGTGCACAAACATGAGGACCTGAATTCAGGCCTACAAAAAAAAAAAAAAAAAAAAAACAGTAAGGTACGGTGGTGTGTACCTATAATCATAGCAATGAGAAAGCAGGGACTGAGAAAGGAGGTTCCCTAGAATGTAGCCAAGTAGTCTAACAAAATCAGCAAGCTCCAGGTTCAGTAGGAGACCTCATATCATCATCATCACCACCACCACTACCACCTTCTTCTCCTCCTTCTCCTCCCTCTCCTCCTCCTCCTTCTCCTCCCCCTCCTCCTCCCCCTCCTCCCCCTCCTTTTTCTTTATGTGGAAGTCTGGTGAGATATTCCAGAGAGTTAAAAGGTGCTTGTTGCCAAGGCTGGCACCCTGAGTTCGATCCCCAAGACCCAGATGGTGATTGAACTACTCCCATAAATTGTTCACTGACCTATACACACATGCACACACACACACACACAGAGAGAGAGAGAGAGAAAGAGAGAGAGAGAGAGAGAGAGAGAGAGAGAGGCAGAGACAGAGACAGAAAGGGAGAGACAGAGACAGAGAGACAGAGAGAGACAAAGAGAAAGAGACTCTTAAAAGTTTAAAATGGGAGGCTAGAGAAATGGCCTAGGAATTAAGATCACTTGCTGCTGTTCCAGAGGACCCAGGTTTGATTGCCAGCACCTACAGCAGATCATAGCCCACCTGTAACTCCACTTCCAGCAATCCAACATCTTCCTCCCTCCATAGGCATGAGACATGTATGTGGTGCACAGACATATATGCAGACAAAATACCAATATACATAAGATTTTACATTTTTAAAAATAAAGTGGAAAACAGTTGAAGAAACATTCAATGCTGACCTCTAGCACACAGGCACATACACATACACACATGCAGTGTGTGTGGCTCTGGGTAATTTCCTTCTCAACACTTCACTTGGGACTGTATTCTATCAAATTATCTATCAAATTTATCAAATTATGACAATTATAACAGTCATAATTCTGTAAAGAACAAAAAACCAACTTCTCAGACTTAAGGAGACCATCTATATACAAACAGCTCAGGATCCCTAGCCAAACAAGCTGGGAGAGCATACCCAAGTGTTATAGGAGTCACTGATGGAGTCACTTACCACATGAGGATGGAAGGCATAGAGAAACCATATGAAACAAAAGATAGAAATCAAATGATTCCTTCTATAACCCTTAGTAATTAATATAAATTATGTTGGATAATGTAATTCTGACTGCCTGGAACTGGATATATCAACTGATCCCCCATTCCTGCTTCCCTATTAACTTTCTTGTACTTCTCTCTATAGTGACTCAAGAGACCTACAAGAGGCTATGGCTGATAAGCATCCTAACACCTCCAAGTCTTGGGGAAGAGGTAAAGTAACCTTTGTTGGGTTAACATCAAACTTTTAACATTGTGATCTAAACTTGAAAAGATATGTAAGCCATGGAGTGTGGTAGTGCACACCTTTAAATCCCCCAAATCAGAGGGCAGAGGCAAGCAGATCTCTGTGAGTTCAAGTCCAGCCTGGTCTACATAGTTGCTATACAGTCAGAGATACAGAATAAGATCCTGACTCAAAACAAAAATTAATTAAAGTATTAAAACATTGGTCTGATGATTCAGCTCAGTGATAACACCCTTGCCTCATATGCAAATGATCCTGGTTCGGTGTCCTAGGGAAAAAATTATTCTGCTCCTACTTGACTCACAGTAGGACACAGGGAAAGTCCTGGGGACTTCTGATCAGACTGAGGAAAAGGCTGTTTTTAAATGCTACTGGCACATCTCAAGCTGTGAAAATGACACTACTTTAATCTTTTTCTTTCTCCCCACAGGTCAGAAAAACTGATGGAGACATTGCCAATTAAAATGCCCGATGACAAATAGAAGTCATTTTTAAACTTTAGGAGAAATCTCAACTTTTAATAAATTTGTGATTGTCATCTTAACATGTTTTTATTTAAATAAAGAATATTTTCCTTTGAAAAACTTACTTGATTTTTTATTCCTACTTGTTTTCACATCCTTGTGTATCACCTGAATGCTACAGGGCTTATTTGCCTATTTCTATTATTAGAAGGGGAATTACCATCACTCTGTGAGCTGTGAAATTATTCCATAGATTATTCCCCAAGTTTTTTCTGTCACCTATTGAGTGACCCTCCAATTACCCTTCTTCAATCTGCTATACAAATCCTCCTGGCTTTTTTTTTTTGATATTTTATTTACATTTCAGATGTTATCCCCTTTCCCCATTTCCCCCCCCCCCAGAAACCCTCTATCCCATCCTCCTCCTCCTGCTTCTATGAGGATGTGCCCCTACCCACCCACTCCCACCTCCCCACCCTCAAATTCCCCTACACTGGGGCATCCAGCCTTCACTGGACCAAGGACCTCCTCTCCCACCTATGCCCAACAAGGCCTTCCTCCCCTACATATATAGCTGGAGCTATGGGCCCCTCCCTATGTACTCCCAGGCTGGTGGTTTAGCCCTGGGAGCTCTGGTTGGTTGGTATTGTTGCTCTCCCCATGGGATCATAAACTCCTTCAACTCCTTCAGTCTTCTCTCTTAACTCCTCCATTTGGAACCCCATGATCAGTTCAATGGTTAGCTGTGAGCATCCGCCTCTGTATATGTCAGGCTCTGGCAGACCTCTAAGGGAGACAGCTACATCAGGCTCCTGTCAGCGTGCACTTCCTGGCATCTACATCACTGTCTGCCTTTTGTGACTGTATATGGATGGATACCCAGGTGGAACAGTCTCAGGAAGGCCCTTCCTTCAGTTTCTGTCCCACACTTTGTCTCCATATTTGCTCTCATGAGCAAATCTTGTTACTCCTAAGAAGGACCGAAGAATCTATACTTTGGTCTTCCTTCTTCATGAGCTTCATGTGGTCTGTGAGTTGTATATTGGGTGTTGAGAACTTTTGGGCTAATATCCACTTATCAGTGAGTGTATACCATGTGTGTTCTTTTGTGATTGGGTTACCTCACTCAGGATGATATTTTCTAGTTCCATCCATTTGCCTAAGAATTTCATTAATTCATTGTTTTTAATGGCTGAGTAATACTCCATTGTGTAAATGTACCACATTCTCTGTATCCATTTCTCTGTTGAAGGACTCTTCCTGGCTTTTTTTTTTTTGGATGTTTTATTTACATTCCACATGTTATCCCCTTACCCCATCCCCCACCCACCCAGGAACCCCCAATCCCCTCATCCCTCTTCCTTCTTCTCTGTTGATGTACCCCAACCTACCCACCCCACTCCCACCTCCCTACCCTCAAATTCCCACCCCCTGGGGTGTCCAGCCTTCATGAGTCCAAGGATCTCTTCTCCCACCTATGCCCAGCAGGGCCCTCCACTCTTACATATACAGCTGAAGCCATGGATCCCTCCCTAAGTGTTCCCAGGCTGGTGGTTTAGACCCTGGGAGCTCTGGTTGGTTGGTATTATTGCTCTCCTCATGGGGCCGCAAACCCTTTCAGCTCCTACAGTCTTCACTCTGACTCCTCCATTGCGAACCCCATGATCAGTTCAAAGGTTAGCTGTGAGCATCTGCCTTTGAATATGTCAGACTCTTGCAGACCTCTGAGGAGACATCTATATCAGGCTCTTATCAGCATGCACTTCCTGACTTCCACATCAGCATCTACCTTTGGTGACTGCACATGGGATGGATACTCAGGTGGAATGGTCTTCAGACAGCCCCTCCTCCAGTTTCTGTCCCTCACTTTGTCTCCATATTTGCTCCCGTGAGTATTTTGTTGCTCCTTCTAAGAAGGACTGAATCACCCCCACTTGGTCTTCCTTCTTCATGAGCTTCATGTGGCCTGTGAGTTGAATCTTGGGTATTTCAAGGTTCTGGGCTAATATCCAGTAATCAGTGAGTGAATACCATGTGTTCTTCCTGACTTTTAAATGATACAGTTTTTATGGCAAGCTGAGTTAGGAACATAACTCTAGATCTACTTTCCTAACTCTGTCAGCTCAATTTGCTCCCATTGGATTACACCTTACTTTTCACTCTGTGCCTTTTTTAAATGTCACTTTCACCCTTTAGCCATTCAAATACCCTTTCGAGCTTTTTAAGTTCAATCCTTTTGTCACATTAAAACCTTCCCTGTCTCTCTTAGTGATTTCAAACATAGCGATTAAATATAGATACTTTTCTCTCTTCTACCACACCACCAATCTCAAGAGAAGTCATATTTGTGTGTTTCTTTGTGTTTCCCACATAACCAACCTGGCACTGTATGTGTAAAACATATCAAATGCTGGACACTTTCTGTTGAGGCAGGATCCCACTGTAATCCAGGTTGGCAGACAGCATCAACTTCTTTTAAGCTGTATCTCTTTATTGAATTTACCTTTTAAAATAATGGCACTAGAAGTGGGGGTTTTTTAGTTTTGTTTTTCTAGTTTGCTGAGTTACAGTTTGTTACAGTTAGACTTACAGTTTTAATAGGTTATCATAGTCAAATAAACATTTACTGTCTTTTTGAGGTTCATCCCTATACAAATTTACTAGTCATTTCAAATCTTTTTATCTCTAATTATGGCAGAAACAAAAGGAAACTGAACTCTGTTTGTACAACATACATTGCATAAAGGAGACCTATTGATGTTCTCACCTAAATTTATATAAGCATTTTTGTTTGTTTTTGAGAGTTTCTCAATACATTGTCCAAGCTAGCCTCAAACTCAAAATTCTCCTCCCTTAGCTTACTGAGTACTAGAGTTACAAGTGTTGACCACTTCGTTTTGTTTGTTTTGCTACCTAAGCTTATCTTGAACTCCTGAACTGAAGTGAGCCTCCTCACTTCCAAGTGAGGACTTGGAACTACAGGCATTCCCAGATGTACTCAGTTTGCTTTCACTTACTAAGGCATTGCACATTTCAGTGTGTTATAGTTTTGTTTTGTTTTTTTAAGACAGGGTATGGGTGGAGACTGGCATATCATTCAGTTGGTAAAGTACTTTCCACATAGCATAAGGATCTGAGTTCACATCACCAGCACCCACATAAAAACCCAGGCATGGGTGCATATTCTAGCACTGGAGTCAAGATTCCTGGATCTCACCAGCCAATCTTGCCAAGTCAGTAAACTCCCAGTTCAGTGAGAGACACAGTCAAAAAATATGGTAATGTGGCTCAGCTAACAAGGGCTCTTGCCCTCATGTCTTATTGCTCTGAAACATACCCTACTGGTCCCAACATCATCTCCCCTGTTGTCTATCTATATTCCTATGCAGGCTTCTTAAGCAGCTGCAATATAAAATAAGGAGAGAAAAAGCGTCAAGAATTGTAGTCTCTTCTTGCCTCACACTCATTTACAGAATAGATGGTTTCTTACAGACATTGCAACACTAGTAAAGTACACCCACATTCTCAAGTGAGATAAGATCTACTCTGAGACACTGAGAACTGTTTGGGGAGCCAGGCAGTGGTGGTGGATGCTTTTAATCCCAACATTTGGGAGGCAGAGGCAGGTAGATCTCTGTGAGTTCAAGGCCAGCCTGGTCTACGGAGTGGGAAGAAGTAAGTAGATATTGGTTGAAGTCCAGGAATATACAGATAGATTATCAGTTAGTTCTAAAGATCTAATTGTAAAGTATGGCAGCTATAGTTAATAACAATATATTACCTAAAATTTGCTTAGCAAATCTTAGGTATTACACACACAAATTTTGTGTGTATGTGTGTGTGTGTACACACCATGGCTTAGATTTATCACCACATAAGGTTTCTACATGAGTGCTAAGGATATGAACTCAGATCTTCATGCTTAAGAAAAAGCACCTTACTTGCAAAGCTGTCTCCCAGCCCCATATGCCCTAATTTTGACAGATTTTGCAACTGCATCTACGGAATACTTATGTTTAACTATACACTTGAATGTCAATCAGAAATCATAATTAGATGAGAGAACAAGGACTCAATAAAATTCAAGCCAGAAACAAAAAACGCTTAGTCTTCTGCTGGATGGAAGTGTATTAGGATTTCTGAAACACTGAAAGGTTCTTTTTATTAATATTATTACACTTATTTGGATGTGTGTTCACATGTATATCATGGTGCAACATGTAGATGTCAGAGGACAACTTCCAGGAGTTTGTCCCAGGGATTGAACTTGGGTCATCAGGCTTGGCAGCAAGTCACTTACCCACTGAGCCATTTCCTCAATTTATCTAATATTGAATGTTTCTAAAGAGTCGCACAAGTTCTTCTTATTCATTAGACCATTGACTTTATTTAGAACTATTTATAAATTCATATATATATTATATGCATATCATTTAAGGACAATAGTATATACACAGAACCAGCAAGGACTAGATTCAGTTTTGGATAGTAATCTTAGATAGCTCCTAGAATGAAACTTGTGTAAATTACTTGGTTTCATTGTTTTTCCATTTTCAAATATTAGCAACCTGGGTGGAAAAAAAAAACAACCTGAAAGAAAACTCAGCAGGGATCTCAGATAAAGTATATTTTTTTTTGACTTGGAAAAAAATGAACAAAGCATTTAAGAATAGAAGTAACAGATGTGTGGCACATCTTTATTTCCAAATCACCACTGAAACACAGCTTTGGCTTTTGTTTATAAGCTAGTGTAGGCTTATCTGCTGGTGCTAAATGGAGCAGCTCCACCAGCTGAGAATCCTGCCACCCTGACAAGGCATTAGGAACTACAGCAGAGCCCATTTAGGGTTCTGGTTTAGGACCAGCTTACTGTTCCCCTGCTCTCAAGTCCTTAGCTCTTTCTTCCTCAGAAAATTCAATCTACAAGTATCTAAATGAAAAGTACTTGTGGGTCATAGTGACAGTGACAAAAACTGCACCAGAGCTCTGTGACTTGAAGCCTAAAAGAATATTTTAGTTCAAACCACTCTGACCCCACTAATTCTACATGAATGATATTGTGATAAATTCAGGAACTGATAGGAATTGTTTTAAGCTGTTTCCTAACAATCTGAAGTTGT